CAGCCGTCACCCTGCCAGGGCCGCTGCAATGATTTAACCACGCAGCTGAGGTCAAGAACAGGGGAACGTTAGTACGGACACAGCCTGAGGGTACGCATACTGCACGTACAACCACATCGACCACCGGGTAAATCTTCCAGCATCCCTTTTTTTATTCTTTTATGGTGCCAGCTGAGGGCTGAGTCTGTGAAACACAAGATGGGATCCTCATCACTTCAGAGTGTACAAACTTTGGCATGAGAGGAAAGGAAACAAAAAGCAACCAGCGATACGAAGCTTCCTTGGATGTCGACCAAAGTAGATTTGCTTAGGTGGTGGCTGCTCTGTGTTTGTTTTCTAGGATCACGTTCTTGTGCTTTATCAGTGCGAGGGATGATTTTTTGATTCAAAATACTTCATTCACACTTAATTCCGAGACATATGTTCCATCTCCACATTCGCAGTTGTGGTCTGCAGCTCGGTCACAAACCAGGCAAGCGGTGTTTCCATTTCCTGACTGGGGAGTTTCGCAGTTTAGCATAACCAACCAAGCGCAAACTTGACATTTCAAGTCTGAATGTTCAATTTGAGACGTATTTGTTGCATATCCATTCTGTCATTCGTGTGAACTATGCATTTAATACACACTTTGATAACTTCCACAGCATACAGACACGCTACTTACTTGCTGTGGAAAGTCGCTGGGGAACACGATGGTCTGAACACCACCGGGCAGAAAGCAGAAAACAAATAAATCTGCTGTAGATCTTCCATGTCTGGTCCTGGGCCTGAACCGGCTGGTTCTCAAATGGAGAGGGACAACGGGTTACTCTGCATGCCTGACCACATCCAGGAGCTCCGGCACTCAGAAGCCACTAGAGTAGTAATTTCTTATTGAGCAACGGGATTACTTTATGCCTGGGCAAAATTTTTGATCTGTAGCGGTAAGACATTTTACCACCACACTACAGTCGAGTTCATTCATCAGGGAAAACACCATCATGTCCCTCTGTACCATGATCTATACAGTATCCTGTATCCTAAATGCTCTGCGCAGCTAATTCTCCGTCGCAGAAAAGGATACGGCTGATCAGGAAAAGGTACACGAACGCTACAAATCTACGGGACTGCTTCTGATGGAGGGATGACTATGACTCTTCAAGCTGGAAAAAAAAAAAGACAATCGAAAAGGCTCAATAGGTGCCTACGGAATCACGACTGGCATGGAGAAGGCGGACAAGGATTGCCAGTGGTCAGCTGGTCTCATCCAGTACAAGAAGCCCAGGGCATAAAATCAGGCTAACGGGTGGCAGCTCCAAACATCAGAAGCTCAGGGGTTTTTTCCCCCTTCACAAGTAAGCTGTGGAGCTTATTGCCATAGGATGCTGTAAGCTGCTAAAAGCGTGCCTAGGTTTTTAAAAGTCACTGGACAAGCTCATGGAAATAAAAATCCATTGAGGGTTATTAAAAACAAGACATCGTGTCTGGATCAGAAAACCCATGAGCTGCAAATCATTAGATGCTAAAACAACATTCTGGGAACATACCTCCAGCTGCGCACGTGCTTTCACAAAGTATCTGATTTCAGCTACTACTGGGAACAGCGTACTGGCACAGATGAACTTTTGGTCTGACCTGGTCCAGCTTTTCTGGTGCTTTCATTGCTTTTTTCACCACGCTACAAAAGCCGTAATGCTGCCAGCTCAGCAAGTCTTGTCAGCTCACCTACTACAAGGAGCAAACTACGCAGGGAAGGGCAGGTCAGCAGGCTGTGCCCTTCCTTCCTGGCGTTCCTGATCCGCCGGGCTGCCCCAGGGAACTGTAAAGCCAGCTGATTTAACCTCCCAGGGATCTGCTGGGAAGGAGGGGAATACGGAGAGAGCAACTCTGTGACGTATTCAAAGGCCAGGGGTGGCCCAAACCGCTTTCGGATGCCAGGGGTGCTGTGTTGGTGTGGACAACCTTCTATGCAGTTGCATGCTCGGGGATGACACTGCACCAGGGACCGAGACCTTTCACACGAAGAGGAATTCCACTTGGGAAAGCCCTGGCAATCAGGGCACTGCACATCGTTGGGAAAAGACCTAGAAGACTATGGCTGCGGTCATCAGAAGCTGCCTGACTTTGGCATAATCACAGAATCATAGAATCTCCCTTTATTTCTGTGGAAGCAAGAGTTAAATCAAATCCACAAGGCACTTCCTGACATTCGATCAAATCTCCTTCCAAAGGTTTTCTAAATAACCAGAGGCAGAGGATTTCTGCTGCAAAATACTTCACCACATTATCTGTGAGTTAAAATACTTCCAAAAAGATATTCTTGGGGATAAATTTCCCAGTTCTTCAGTTGAGTAAGCATAGCATTAAATTACAAGGAAGCTCAACTATTATCTCATAGTTTTCTTTTTTTTATTATAGACTTTTTATCCACATGAATGATAAAGAAACTACAACAGTTAAATACCTTTTTTGATAACAGTGATTATATTCTTAATTACACTCAATATTAAATTGTAAAATATTTCCAGAGGAGTACAATCTTAATTCATACAGCAGGCAAAATACCAGAGGAGGAAGGGGCCGAGGGGTGTGAGAATTTCCAGTCCACTTTTAAAAAGCGCTTCGTATGGCTAACGCTGCTCTATCCATCCGTCCATCCATCCACCCAAACGTGGTTCTGGCCCGTCAGGTACAACGTGCGTTTCCTTCCGTAAAACAACCACTATTCAAAAGCAAAAGATGACCTGGCGGATGTCGTCAGTGTTTGTGGCGTCGAAAGGCTCGGCAGTTCCTTTCGCGGCTTATCTGTACGAGTCGTTAAAAGCATTTTCTCTATCAAGTTCAGTAGTCCTTCTAAAAACACAAAGACTTCAACTTTGGTACCACCAAAAAAGATCCAGGACAGGCATTTTTTTGATTTTTTTTTTTCGTTGTTTTGTTTTTACTAATAAATGGCTGCTACATTCTATTTTACATGGTTGTCCATGATGCTTTGAGGTCACTTGTCCGTGGGTTCAGAGGAACCCGATTTGTTTTGTTTGTTCTTTCAATCCCCAAGCCGCTCCATTTTGTCAGTCTTTATACAAGTCAAGTTATAACTTATAAGGTAACAGCTGCAAAAGATCCTGTGCTTCTGGGAATAAAAACAAACAAAAAAAAAAAGAGGAAATGTTACCAACACTAAGCCCCAGTTGGAGATTTCTTTACTCACAGAGTTGGAACATTTATTTACAACCCTAGAAAACGGGAGACACGTAAGTCATCTGCTCCAGAGGCATCCTCCGAGACTTTGGTTGTTAGTACCCGTAGCATCACGTGGATATACTCACACTAAAGACAAGGTGCAAACTGTAACTGGCTGAAGTATGACTAAAGACAACACGACCTGCTGCAGAAAAAGGAACACCAAGCCCAACAAGGGCAGCAAAGGACTGAAAGGAGAAACGCAGAGCAACAAACGCACAGGGTCTTCACCCCCCCTTGGTGTCGTGTGTAGGGAGGGGTGCGCGCACAGGTTTCTTCTCGAGGCGCACTGAGAATCTGAAATCGCTTCTGAACAATATAGTTGAGATTCTCTGCTTGACTGGTTTAGTTTAGCAGTTAAGTAACGACTAATCTTTCAGAAGCACTAGGGCCTACTTAGAGAAATCCCTGTTGTCTGCCGGGATGGCGTGCCACTGGAAACAAAACCAGCATGAGAAATGGTTCCATCCTCCACGCTCTCAGCCAGGAAATGCTCGTAGCTGCGATGCCAGCACCTTGCTTGCAGGGCTTGTCAGCTGATGAAAACCTGATGCTGGGAGCAAAGGGTGCCACTCACCTGATGCTGCCATCCTCCGGCAGACTTTTATCTTTGGACAAGGCTCTCGGGGTAGGATGCGCTGTTTCTCATCTGGGGAGGCGTACTGCTTTATTTGGGATATTAATATCACTGAATTTATGTTAAATCAGCACTCAGGCTGAGGTAGACTCAACCGGAAAATGCTGGCAGTCACTAAGAAAGTATGCACAAGAGGGCAAAACAGACCATCTTGATGCTAAGACTAATCTCCTGATGTCGGCAGGCAGAGCTCGAGGCCACGGATACTGGTTAGCTGGTCACTCTATGCTTACTCCTAATGCTTTAAGTATCTGCTTCCTCCATAGCTCAGGCAAACCTCCATCGTTTATACTATCAAACCCTTCTCAGATGCCCCAGACTTTCTCTTGAACTCCTCTCCTTTCTGCATTACTGAGGTCTCTACGTACAAATAGCTCTTTTTTTCTAATACACCTACTCGACCTCAGGAATTTTTTCAGCAAATCCACAAGCCAGATTTTACAGTGTAACACAGTAGCAGAGCTACCAGCTTTTTGCTTGTCTGTCTCAAGCCCTAATCTTCTTTTACCGGAAAAAAAGAGAATGTTGTTTAAATGTTAAGGCTTTAGCACCCAAAACTGGAATCCCCCAGGTCACTAACGATGGAGACAGTGTTTCTTCTCATTGAACGCTTCTAAAAAACTCTCCTGAAAAACGCAGTGTTGGGTTTAGGAAGATCCTGCACATGAGCAACAGGGTAATGGGCATTTGCAAGAGACTGAGCTACAGAAGACACAGTATTGGTGTAGTTCTGTAAAGCTCCCAAAATATACTGCTCTTTCCTGGAGCTGAGGAAGCTCCATTACGGGCAGAAAAGCTCAGCATGTGAACTTTTACTGCCCGGTGAATGCCAAGGTATCTCCCTCCTGCCACTGAAGTCACACGGCCTTGACACCACTTTGCAGTGCCAAAGAGCAGAAGCACGCGCTCAGGCGACGAGGCCTGGATCAACCCAGCGGTACGTCCCACCCCCGCGAAGCCTCGTCATTCGTGCGATACATCAGGCATTGGCTTTAGACCATAGCACGACACCTCCACAGACAGAGCTGTTAGACCAGAACCAGTAACATCGTGCAACAGAAATTATTCTCGCAATGCCTACAAAGAAAAATGCGACGGCCGGGTTAGGCGGAACAAAGTCTCTTCTTTCACAAGCTCACCTTTAGCTTTTGCTGAGGTGCGCACCGAGCTTTTCTTTTCTGATCAAGCTTGCTGCATAGGGAATCTGCAATGACACAGAAACAAAGCTCACTGCTTTAAGCCAAGGTTTGCCTAATGAAACATCCAAGCTGGAATCCCTGCAAAGGAAAGGTTTTGTTTGCCTCCCTGCATCATTTTAGAAAACAGTGCCTTGAATTAAAGGATGGAACTCTACACAAAACTGCAAGGATGTTGAAGCAGAAAGAAAATAAAAATGGCCCAAATTAAAACACAAATAGATCTTAAAATCCAATGTAAAAGATGTCTTCCTGTGTTTTGTTTATATCAGTTGCTAGGAAAAATACAGCCACCACCCATTCTGCTACCTGTGAGAAGACAAAAATCAGCTGGCTGTGACAGAGCAGGCAACAAACACCCATCCCGGCACAGCCGAAATACAGCAGACTGGGAGTATGAGACTTCTTATATTTATATCGCTGTAATTAGGAAGTTCATAATAGTTATGTCTGACTTGCGCCAATCTGAGGGAAGCCACTGAAGCGGAACAAATAATTAAAGAAAAAACAGAGAACACAGGCATATTAGGGAACATAGCTATATTTAGAAACAAAGTGGGATGATGTGCTCGCTGGCTACTGGGAACACAGTACAGGGCCGCTCTTTTTCAATGCTGGGCCTTTACAATGCAACAAAACTAAATTGCTCTGAGATTTCTCCATAGCTGGGAATCCACGTGACTATAAATTCTCTATTCTTCGATGCTGCCTTTTGGAAGGACCGTCGGAGGAATTCAGGTTGGGATCAGAAAAATCTATGTCCCTACACTCCCAGGTGCTGCTGCACGCTGAGGTGACCTGTTTTTGCTGTCAAGCACTCCTGAATATATTCACAAATAAAGTCAAATACGTTAACTGTAAGCTGCCAAACAGGCTGGGCTGAAGTCAGCAGCAAGGCCTTAAGCTGCACAAACACCAAAGGGAACAGACAGGTAAATGCACAGAGTTCAAGCGACGTGCCCCCCACACCTACTAACATACTAGCAGCACATGAATTTTCATCCACATCCACTCCCCATATACCTAACACGCATTCTTGTTTTGTTTTTAATTGTATTATGCCCACAGTATGTGAAGGATGTTTGCGTGAGCTGTGCTCAGTGTGTCTCTGGGCTGGTGTAAAGCACAGTGTCTGCAGCCTCATCTCTCTCCACCTCTGCCTTCCGTAGTAAGGAAAAGAGCAGGGAAGGGTCAAGATGAGAGGAAAGAAAGAGGCACCTGCAGTTCAGGAGCTAACCCTTTCATCTCTCAGGAAAGGAGGTCAATCTGCTCGAAAGCAGCAGCACCAAGAAGCAGCAGTGTCTGCAAAGATGAGCCGTCCAGCTGAATGAAAGCAGGAGCCTTTCATGAGCGCACATCACTTCCCCTACTACAGAGAAGAGAAATACATATGCAAGAACTGAAAGGATCAAACCACTGACGACCTGAAAAGCCTCAGGACCCAGGTGTTTTGGCTACTATAACCCCTACCCTTCACAGAAGCTGAACGCTGTCAGGAGGCTTGCTGCCCTACGCCCCCAAAAAACAGAGCTCTCCCCTCAACTGAATCCTCTGCTTCAACAGAGCTGCCTTCCAGGGCACAGCATTTGCAAAGTCTGGAAAACTCCTCTCTGGAGGACGAGGGGCCTGGAGCATCTCTCCTACGAGGAGAGGCTGAGGGAGCTGGGTTTGTTCTGCCTGATGAAGAGAAGGCTGAGAGGGGACCTAATAAATGCCTACAAATATCTGCAGGGTGGGTGTCAGGAGGACGGGGCCAGACTCTTTCCAGTGGTGCCCAGCGACAGGACAAGGGGCAACGGGCACAAACTGAAGCAGAGGAAGCTCCAGCTGAACATGAGGAAGAACTTCTTCCCTCTGAGGGTGACGGAGCCCTGGCCCAGGCTGCCCAGGGAGGCTGTGGAGTCTCCTTCTCTGGAGATATTCAAGCCCTGCCTGGACGCGGTGCTGTGCAGCCTGCTCTGGGTGACCCTGCTTCGGCAGAGGGGTTGGACTGGGTGACCCACAGAGGGCCCTTCCAACCCCGACCAGTCTGTGATTCTGTGACGTTCTGCAGAGAGGAGTACGCAAAGAAACGATTTACCTGGTCGCCCGTTTGCATGGTTTAGATTCAAAAGGGAGCCAAAAACAAACTGCCTGAGCAAGCACGTTTCAGCTGAGACTCACGCTGCTTCACCAACCGCTTTCTTCCTCTCTCCCGCTCACAACGGCCAACAGGCAACAGCGGTTTGCGTGGCCGCCAATTATATAGGACACCTCCCAAGCCGTACTGACCTAGATAATACAACGGGGTACATTCTGTCAGAAATTAACTGTTCTTAATCCATTTCCCTGCTATATTTGGCACATCAGCGTCTTTACAATGTGTGTTGGTTTATCCATTCTCCTGGTAATAAACGAAACTGGGTGTCCAACAGGGAAATGACTACTTTCTTCACGAGTTAAATCACCTACAATGTCATCTTCTACTTTTGTCATTGGAAGAGCATTTGGTAACTCCAGTGCTGCAGTGTAATAGTATTTAGGGCTCTCTGTGTCAATACAGTCCCCTTTTGCACATCCATGGTGACTGCTGCAATGCAGGATAGGATCGGCAGTCAAATGGGCATGAAGGTCCCACGCGTGGCCGTTACCGAAGCATGTACACCCCTGCCCGTAATAACAGAAGTGTTAGTTCAGGTTTAAGTAGCAAGCAATCTGTTTCTTACAACTAACCATATTAACAGGAAATACACCGCAATGGGAGCGGATCTGCAGGGTGCAGGAGAAAGACCTAGTGTCCAAGCTGCACTTCTCTTGGGGTTTGTTTCTAGTCTGATCCTGGGTACCGATCACTGAATCACAGAATGTTTGGGGTTGGCAGGGCCCTCTGTGGGTCACCCAGTCCAGACCCCTGCCAGAGCAGGGTCACCCAGAGCAGGCTGCACAGCACCGCGTCCAGGCGGGGCTAGAATATCTCCAGAGAAGGAGACTCCACAGCCTCCCTGGGCAGCCTGGGCCAGGGCTCCGTCACCCTCAGAGGGAAGAAGTTCTTCCTCATCTTCAGCTGGAACTTCCTCTGCTTCAGTTTGTGCCCATTGCCCCTTGTCCTGTCACTGGGCACCACTGGAAAGAGTCTGGCCCCGTCCTCCTGACACCCACCCTGCAGATATTTGTAGGCATTTCTAAGGTCCCCTCTGAGCCTTCTCTTCTCCAGGCTGAACAAGCCCAGCTCCCTCAGCCTTTCCTAGTAGGAGAGATGCTCCAGTCCCCTCATCACCTTAGTAGCCCATCACCCATGAGGAGTAGAGCAAACTCCTGTGTGCATTCCTGGAACAGATCCTTGTTTGCTTCACCCGGAAGGAATCCAGTTTGCAACCTCTGAGTCTGCTCCACAGCGTTACCAAAGTGCAGGTAAGCGGACAGGATTGGGGATTCATTTTAGAAGCACACGTCCGATCCCTGCTACGCTTGGACATCAAGCTTCTGTCCGTCGTCCTCTTTTGGAGGTTTCAGTGGGCCAGACAATGATACATCACCCTCTGACTTCTGTTGCATGAAGAGGGAACCGTCAGTACCCCAAAGCACTATTATCCGATGCGTATCTACAGGTATTCAGTTAAACAGTTCTCATTTCCAGAGAGTGCACGTGAAGACTTAAAACTCCGTGCAGCCAAGGCAGCCCTTCCAAACGCACACCGTATTTACGCAGGAAAGGAGACCGGCGTGCAGCTGAACCGTTTTTTTTCTCAGCTCACAGGGTGATTCTGGACAGAATGATGTGTGGGGTTAAGGAGAACAAAAAGCATGCACTGTGCCTCTGACTGCTGGAGGAGAAATGGAAGTTCCAGCAGCTTGCCCTTGAGCGCAAGTCTCCCCTACCGCCCTGTGAAAGCACTTCTAGCTGTGTGGGCTGGGTTCGGAGGCTCTTTCCTCCCAGGCGGGCAGTGGCGTGTGCTCGGGGCAGCGTACCAGTCTGCACAGGACGCAAGACAACAGAGAGTCACGGCCGGAGCACACAGTCTTGCCCCTACGGGTTTTTAAGTACCAGAGCACACTAATAAAATAGAAACAAAGATTTTGCAGACAGGCAATAGCAGAGGCTGGCTTGTAGCGCTCTCGTACATATGCATCCCTGTTTGATCAGAATTTCTGCAGATTCTAAACAAAACGAAGCTTTTACTTCTTTTTTTAATAACTTAATTCTACAAGGCATTCCTTTTCTGTAACATTTCAATTTACTGGAGAAAGAGGCACAGCTCAAGGCATACCCAGATGCATCGCCAAGATACAAGCTTCGCTCACCCGCCTTCAAAAAGCAGACAGTGGCAAACAAAATTCTGCTGTAAATAGTACGTGTCAGCTCATTTTTCTTCACGCAGTCACAGACGGTTATGCTGCCTTCGGCATCAAAAGGACGTATTCCCAATCTGTATCACTACATCTGGAGAGGAACTCCACCAAAAACCAAATTAAGATAACAGAACCTACAGAAACAGACCGGCAGTATCATCCCAACTGCTACAGCACAGAAGAAGAAATCAATGAGGAAAAAATACAAACATCTCTCCGTTTTGGGAGAGGGCAAGGTAATGCAATCGGCCTTGGAGTCTGCAAGAACGCAGTAAATTCCAGAAACGCTCTTCTACCTGTTATTGCCTGGGTGTCAGCAGACAGGCCCTTCAGCACAAGATGCAGCTCAAGAAATCCAAGAGCCTTTCTGCTGAACCTATGTTTGCCTCTAACATCCTTGTCAAGGCCAGTCAATCTATCGGGACCACTTTCAGCACAGGACCAAGCCAGAAATCCCAACAAAGCACTGCTATTTCCTATTTCCACTTTTTGAACATGGAGTGACAGGTATGCAGTGACCAAGGTCTCTGCACACAAAAATGTGGATATTCCTTGTTTGTATAATGAATACATCAGTTGTATGAACCACCCATTTTCCATATACAACCTAAAATAGGAATTAAACCTAGTGGTGCTTTTCTTAATTATAGCACGACCCAGAGGAACATGATCTCATACCTCTGAAGATCTACCAACATTACCACATGGTAGATTTTTTTTCCTCTTTTTAAACACTCCTTGTGAATCTTTAAAGATGAGGATGAAAGACGACGCAGAGAGAAAAATCAATTTTGCAGGTAGATAGTTTCTGATCTATTTTATTGTCTGCCTCTAAAGAACAGAGCTGATTCAAGGCAGCACTGAGAGTAGAAGGCCATCAAACATCAGACGAGTCCCAGCCAGATCCAGTTCTGAGCTCTGAACTTTACGATCAGCCCAGAGTTTGGCTAGTGAGGAGTAAGTAGGTTCATGGGAGCATAAATAAATTAAATAAACCCAAACAAAACCAAGCCAACACTTTCCACTTGAGCTGCAAAGACAAGGGACTGCCTGAGTAATTCACATTTGTAACACGTTGCAAAGACCTGATGCCTTTTAGCCCTACGTAAAAATAGTGGGATCGATCACTACCTGATTTTAGTTATCTAAACCACAACTGCAGGGTGACAAACACCACCTTAGCTTTTGCTGACGATCAGTTACAACTGCGGTCAGCACCTCCTGGGAACCCACAAACTACTTGTAAGGGACCCCTGAAAGGAAATGAAGAAAAGCTAGCCTGGTTGCAGGAGGCTTAAATTTGCCACTTGGTGCTCTGCTTCTCTGCAGCAACGTTTTAGAGGGGTTCACAAAAACATAAAAGGATAACTATTGTCATGCTGGGAATGCTGCCTCTGATCTTTTTCTCCCAAGACCAGTTCACGCTTCTTAAATTTGATCCACTAACACAGCTGCTTGCAGGACAACATCAGACAGATACGGAGTCTGAAGCAGGAGCTGACTCAGTACTCTGTGAGGCTGGCTGCGCTGTCCCGACAGACAAATTCTGGTGACGCTGGACAGAAACCGACAACTCTAAAGCCAGGTGAGCTCTTCTGAGGCCCTACCACGCGTGCCATGTTAGCATCTACCCCAGCTTGCTGGGCAGCGATTTCTTCTCAGTGGCCCTTTCTGTACAGCTTAATAACAAAAGCCAGATGACCCATGCCTGAGTCCACATGTAAAATCTGTATTTTACATATGGATACACCTACAGTGTGTGTACTTGGAGGTCATAAAATCCGTAAAATACAGATTTTACATATGACCTTCAAGTACACGCACTGTACTTAGCCAATTTGGGAGACAGGACTTTGAAGGAGGAAGATGAGAAAAACACATTCAGTGATTTAAGATCCATTTTGTGTTAAATACGTCGATCAGTTGCTTCCTAGCACTTGGCCGAGAGCTTGGCACAAACAGGTTGCGATACTTCCCGGCAGCTGCTCCAGGCTCTCTGACCAGCTTCTTTCTCCACAGAAATCGCTGCTGGCCGCACAGCGTCCCGCCGCTCCAGTGACCAGCCAAGCCAGGTTGCGTCCAAAGCAGCCAACATCCACCACAGAGGGTGGGACGAGACAGGACCCCCCTCCACACACATCCCCTGTCTTCCCAAGGAGTCGACCCTTGCTCCCGACTTCCAAGAAGCCGTAACATGATTTTTGAGACACTGGCAGCAGACAGAGCATTACGATAACCTCCCATTGATTAAATGCTGCTTTAATGAGGGGTGCAGTGGCGGCCGGGCAGCGGCAGAGGGCATACACTGCCCTCCATGCGTGGCGACCGACCCTCGCCTTCTGCACCGCAGTCTCACTTCTGCACCCGAGAACCGGGAGAGAAAAAGGCGTTACGTTACGTTCAGTGCGTGGCGCTGGCTGGGCACGAAGCACTGCTTTCACACAGCCCCTTCCACCTAACAGGTTACAGTGGGTGTTCGCACTAGGAAGTTTTCAAACGTAATTATATTTGGTTAATTACTTCATGCTTAGCTTCAGCCTGTTGTATTCCAGACACCTCAGACACATCAAACACGCCAAGGCAGTTTATTGCAAAGTCTGACCACTCAATTACGCAGCTCGAAGCATTCGCAGCCGGGGTGAGCGAAACCATCAGTACAGCAAAACCTGCCCCTGGCACCCACTGTTATGAAAGCGCCCTTCACAACCATGCACAAACCTTCGGGAAGGACTAATTTAAGTCGTAGATTCCTTCAGCAGTGAGCAGACCCCAAAGAAACTGACTCTGTGCATTTTTATTATTTTTAAAATCAAAAAAGCAATTAAGCCAAAATCTGTGGCTAGTTATACCCGTAAAATTTGAATTTAATCCTACAAAGGTATACACCTATGAAGCTGTAAGTGAACTTAAGATCTGAGTATGCATTAAACACTACTTCTTTTCTCTTTGCATTCCTGTGTTAACAAGAATATTAGGTGTGGGCAGCTCTGTTAAAGCAATACTACGGTGTCCCAGGTACATACAAAATAAAACAACCTACCCCTGTTAAAAACAAAACAACAAAACCAAACAAAAAAAATCAGAAGTAACCATGCTTTTTGTGTATTCTGCATCTAAAGATTTAATTCACCCATGCCATAGCACAAGAAGGCCAAAGAAGTCCTACCGTTAGCACATTCAGCTCATTAATCTTAATTCTAGATACAACTACACAAAATATATCCGCATGAACAAATTAAAGTAACTGCAGGGATTACCACATCCGAAGTGCTGACTCCGTTTTAGTTATCAACTCAAACATCAGTGGAGATTTCTGCACCCAGCTTCAGCAAACACACTGGTAATCTGTAGCAGTCTCTCAGTTCTTCACGTGCAAATATCCCTTTATCGGTCTCACTGATGCGCAGCCTGCCTCACCCACATCAGGAGGGATACCCAAATCTGGACCTAAAGACTTACTGATGATCTGACACTTCTATTAACAATAATTAAACTCAGCAAGCGAAGACATCCTGAATTGTTGGTGCAGCACATTCAATGCTGAAACTAGTCTCTGTAACTACATTCAGGCAGCTCTGTTTAATGATTAAAGGAGTATCAGGCCTTCTGTAGCGCATCAGTAAGTGAAAAGGGTGTCAATTACACGATCATATTTCTTTTCCCGCTCGAGAAAAAAGCACTACACTGAACCTTGCGATTTCTCCACTTCTTGTAAATCAGAGAAACCACCGCAGAAGACTAACTGGAGGTGTGGGATAACCAGTTTCAGTAACAACTTCCCAATCGGGCCACAAAGTAAATGGCAGAGATTTTCCATTCTCTCTGCTCCAAGTTCAGCTGACACAAGAGATAAAGGCTGAAGCAGGCCCACAAAATCTGTGCTTAAATGTGCTTCACAAAAGGAGTCGGAAAGGTCACCCGCCTCAAGTCCAAAGCAGCTGGGGAAGAACTTCTCTGGATTCCATGCCAATTACCATCTTCCGTGACAATGCAATTCACAGATCAAGCCAAACTCCCTGCCTGGCATCGGGAAAGAAAGGGGAACACGGTAACAACTGGATGCATTAAAGGAAAAGAGAGGAGAACAGCAGCAAAAAAAAAAAAAAAAAAAAAAAAATTTTAAAAGATGTTCTGGCTTTGAACTCCCCCCAA